CTCTTTTAGTTGTCTTGCATTCTCTTACTATGCCTTTGCCCATAGTTAAGATGGCGGCGGATGGGGTGTCCTATAGGTTCTACTTTTCCTTGTGCCCGCACTTAAGATGGCCGCGGCTGCTTTAGTTATTTCTCATCTCGCTTCTGCCTCCTTCGTACTTAAAAATGGCGGCGCTGTGTAGTTCTTCCCTCTTATAGTTTCCCGCGGTTAAAATGGCGGCCGCAGCGGCCCATTGGTTCATTCTGAGGAACGCCATCCCCTATTGGGCAGTCTCTAAGGCTTGTCCCGCCTCTCCATAGAAAGATAATGGCCGTGTCTTTCTAAACGCAGCGGTGAAGGCATTCCATTGGTTGTTTTTTGAGGCGCGCTATTTTTATTGGGCGGCCTCCTGATTTGCCCCGCCTCTTGCCCATAACCAAGATGGCAGTTCCTTTTTCAGACGCCCTTAGACAAGGCGACGGCCCATTGGTTGTTTTTTGAGCCGTGCTATTTTAATTGGACGGCCTCCAGATTTGCCCCGCCTCCTGCCTGTAATCAAGATGGCAGTTCCTGCTTCAGACGCTCACAGACAAGGCGACAGCCCATTGGTTGTTTTTTGAGTCGCGCTATTTTTATTGGGCGGCCTCCAGATTTGCTACGCCTCCTGCCCATAAACAAGATGGTGGTTCCTTTTTCATCCGCCAATAGTCAAGGCAGTAGCCTATTGGTTGTTTTGTGAGGCGCGCTGTTTTTATTGGGCGGCCTCCAGACTTGCCCCGCCTCCTGCCCATAATCAAGATGGCGATTGCTTTTTCAGACGCCCTTAGACAAGGCAGTAGCCTATTGTTTTGTGAGGCGCGCTGTTTTTATTGGACGGCCTCCAGATTTGCCCATAAACAAGATGGCGGTTCCTTCTTCAGACGCCCATAGTCAATGCGGCGTCCCATTGGTTGTTTTTGAGGCGCGCTATTTTTATTGGGCCGCTTCTCTGTTCGTCCCGCCTCCTCCTTATAAGCAAGACGGAAGCTCCCCCCACTTCCGGTCTTCTGTAAAAATGGCGGCTGCGGCGGCCTGCTGTTTGCTTCTGAGGCGCTGCGTCTTAACGGCGAACCGAATCCGGAACCATCTCCCTCCATCCTCCTTGCTGGGCCTCCGGGGAAGGAGAAGCTTTAGTGGGCGAGATGCCGGGAAGGCTCTGCGGATAGATGCGACACGCTACACGCTGGTCTACACGTGTAAGGTGCGTGTACGTGGGGATGGGCGAAACGGGGCCTAGCGACTCTGTGGAGGCGGGGAACCATTAAGGGGCGGTTCCTCATTAGAAAGGACCCGGATGGACATCCAACCCCACCAATACTATTAGACAAAATGGACAGTAGTCATTATAATATAATATTTTATTATTTATATTATTATTATATGATTATATATAAATATATATATAATAATTAATATAGTAATTAATTAAATATTATATGTATATAATGTATTATATGATTATGTATTTATGTATTATTTATTATATATAATAATTAATATAGTAATTAATTAAATATTAACTATATCTAATTTATTGTATGTATTAATTATATATAATTAATATAATATTTAATACTATTTTTAAATGTAAAATTTAATATATTTTATTAGTTAAAATATTTCAAATTAATATAGTAATTATACATAATTAATATAATATTTAATACAATATTGTAACATTTATTATATCTTATTAGTTAATATATCTTACCTTAATATAGTAGTTAATTATACATAATCAATATAATACTTTCAAATTAATATAGTAATTATACATGATTAATATATTTAATACAATATTTTAACATTTATTATTTTTCATTAGTTAATATATCTTATATTAATATAGTAATTATATATAATCAACATAATATTGAATACTATTTTTATTTATTGTAATGTTTATTATATCTTATTAGTTAATATATCTTATATTAATATAGTAATTGATTATATATTAATTATATATAATTAATACTATTTTTAAATGTAACATATAATATATTTTATTAGTTAAAATATTTCAAATTAATATAGTAATTATACATGATTAATATAATATTTAATACAATGTAACATTTATTATATTTTATTAGTTAATATATCTTATATTAATATAGTAATTGATTATATATAATCAATATATTATTGAATACTATTTTTTATTGTAATGGTTGTTATATCTTATTAGTTATATCTTATATTAATATAGTAATTGATTATATATTAATTATATATAATTAATACTATTTTTAAATGTAACATTTAATATATTTTTAGTTAATATATTTCAAATTAATATAGTAATTATACATGATTAATATAATATTTAATACAATGTAACATTTATTATATTTTATTAGTTAATATATCTTATATTAATATAGTAATTATATATAATCAACATAATATTGAATACTATTTTTATTTATTGTAATGTTTATTATATTTTATTAGTTAATATATCATATTAATATAGTAATTTATTATATATTAATTATATATAATTAATACTATTTTTAAATGTAACATTTAATATATTTTATTGGTTAATATATTTCAAATTAATATAGTAGTTATAGATAATTAATATAATTAATACAATGTAACATTTAATATATATTATTAGTTAATATATCTTATCTTAATATAGTAATTAATTACATATAATCAATATAATATTGAATACTATTTTTATTTATTGTAATGTTTATTATACTTTATTAGTTAATATATCTTATATTAATATAGTAATTGATTATATATTAATTATATATAATTAGTACTATTTTTAAATGTAACATTTAATATATTTTATTAGTTAAAATATTTCAAATTAATACAGTAATTATACATAATTAATATAATATTTAATACAATATTGTAACATTTATTATATTTTATTAGTTAATATATCTTATTAATATAGTAATTATATATAATCAATATAATATTGAATACTATTTTTATTTATTGTAATGTTTCTTATATTTTATTAGTTAATATATCTTCTATTAATATAGTAATTAATTGTATATTAATTATATAAAGTTAATAAAATATTTAATATTTTTATTTATTGTAATATTTAATATATTTTATTAGTTAATATGTTATATTACTATAGTAATTATATATTAATTATATCAAATTAATATAATATTTAATACTATTTTATTTAATGTAATATTTAATATATTGTATTAGTCCATATAATATTTTAGTATTTAATATATTTATTTATTCATTTATTTACTTTACATGTATACCGCAGTTTCTCAGCCCAACGCGGTTTACAACAAGGATAAGAATCAATCAACGATATACAATTTAAAACCATAAAAGCATAATATACAATATTGACACAACCATAGACAACACAATACATCTCATAACTGGAGTCGTGATCCAATCCGTCGTCCAAATTTCCATTCCTGTAATCATCACATTCATTGCACTGTTTAACCGAATGCCCGTTCAAACATCCAAGTTTTTAATCTTCTTCGGAACACCATTAGCGAGGGGGCTGATCTTACCTCCATGGGAAGGGCGTTCCATAGCCGAGGGGCCACCACAGAAAAGGCCCTGTCTCTCGTCCCCGCCAGCCGCACCTGTGAAGCAGGCGGGATAGAGAGCAGGGCCTCCCCAGAAGATCTTAGGGTCCTGGCGGGCTGATAGGCAGAGATACGTTCGGATAGGTATAATATAGGTATAATATAGTATTTAAAATTATTTTATTGTTTAATATATGTTATTAATGTAATATATTAGTCAACATAATGTTTAATATTATTTTATTGTAATATTTAATATAATGTTTATTATATTTTATTATTATTATTATTTATGTTACGGTTCCACTGAAGGGATACATTTGTACAGTATAATCATATAATAATTTGCAATGATGTTGACATAATATTAATGATATAATATTTTACGATGGAGATATAATGTTATTCTACAAGGTAGATATCATATAATACTAGATAATCATATAATATTTTTCAATGAGCATATCATAATTAAAGTATATTACAATGCCAATATATTAATAATATTCTACAATGTAGATAATATAATAATAATAATCTACAGTGCATGGAACTAATGTGGTATCAAACTGCATTAGTTCTATAGTGAAGATGCACCCATTTAGAAAACAACACAATCTTGTTGTGAGGATTGCAGAGTCCTTTGCACCCCAGTAGCATCTTTTTCCATTGCTGTGAATGGGGTGAGCTTAATATACTGCTTATTATTATTATTATTATTATTTAGGTTTGTGGTTCACGGTCGACGGAAAGCATTTCCAAGGCGGCTTACCACCACGGAGTGGCCATCGTCACCTGCCCCGGATGCCAAAACCACCATGTTATTGCCGACAATTTGGGCTGGTTCTCGGATTTGGAGGGCAAGCGGTGAGTGTCTACACTCTGGAACTAATGTGGTTTAGGGCCAGTTGAACCTCCATGGCGCAACACTCAACAGATGCATTATTTGAAACACAGCAAGATGAGTCCACAGCAGACAAGGTCACCACTGGGACCACCTTGACTGGCTTGTGCAGATTATTATTTATTGTTGTTATTATTATTATTATTTTATTATAAACACAACAAGATGAGTCCACAGCAGACAAGATCACCACTGGGACCACCTTGACTGGCTTGTGCAGATTATTATTTATTGTTGTTGTTGTTGTTGTTATTATTATTATTATTATTATTATTATTATTATTATTATAGAATTTATTTAATTATTATTTATAATTTTTATTATTATTATTTTATTATAAACACAACAAGATGAGTCCACAGCAGACAAGATCACCACTAGGACCACCTTGACTGGCTTGTGCAGATTATTATTAATATTAATAGAAACACAAGATGAGTCCACAGCAGACACTCTGCTGGCTTTTGTATTGGATCACACGTCGGACACTTCCCAAGTGTCTAAGACTGTGTGATGTATCAGC